GGTAGCGCCAGTCGTGATTAGCCGTGGTTGTGCAAAGTCTCCAGTTGTGGAAACCTGACAGCCTTTTAATATTAATTTCCTTATCGACTATGTAAATATGTACTCCAGGTCATTTGGTAGGTGCTACATGGAAAGGGCTCTCTCCAAGGACACCCACGATCTCCCGATTAGCAAATACAACAGCTTTTCCTTATTTACATCTTCTTGGACATCTCTGTACTATTTTTACGTGTGACATTTGTCTACTTCCAGGTCGTTCTAAGTCGAATTAGTTTTGACTCTTGGGTTGCCTTGTTGGCTGCCAGGGTAACTTGTGAGTCTTCATTTTCTTCTTGTTGGTCAATAGGTAGCATTTCTTTCAGCAGTGATTATTGGATTTCACTTTGCTAGAGGAAATTTTGACGTTTTGCTATGCCAAATGTCAGACACGGCCGGGCGCGGTGGCTCACGCCTGTAATCCTAGCACTCTAGGAGGCCGAGGCGGGCGGATTGCTCGAGGTCAGGAGTTCAAAACCAGCCCGAGCGAGACCCCGTCTCTACTAAAAATAGAAAGAAACTAGAAACTAAAAAATATATATACAAAAAATTAGCCGGGCATGGTGGCACATGCCTGTAGTCCCAGCTACTCGGGAGGCTGAGGCAGGAGGATCGCTTGAGCCCAGGAGTTTGAGGTTGCTGTGAGCTAGGCTGATGCCACGGCACTCACTCTAGCCTGAGCAACAAAGTGAGACTCTGTCTCAAAAAAAAGGTGTCAGAAGAAAATGTTCTGCTTATAATGGCAGAGTATTAGAAACTGTCTTAAGTACCTATCAGTAGGGAGTTGATTAAACTATGGTAATGTGTAAATGTGTATATGTGTCTATGTATCTATATAAATATTAAGTAGTTATTAAAAACATATATTTCTATTTATGTGGAAATGCTGTGGGTATACTGTTTAGTAGAAAAAGCAGGCTAGAAAACAAAATATATTAATACATGATTTTATAGTTTAAAAACTATATATGTATAGATTATGTTATTTCCTTATTTTGTATGTAGTGCTTTACCCTTTATAGAGTCCTTTTACATACATTTTTGTTTTGATTTTGGCCATGATTACCATTTGAGTTTGCAAAGAAGGCACGTGTTATTTTCTAGATGAGGAACTGGTAGGGAAATAATACAGTGAGGCGGTAAGAACTTGAAAGACCGAGGATCAAACCTCGCTAATAAATCCTGCCACTGCCTCTTGCTGTCTGTGTACGTCATAGGACCTTTATTTCCTTTGTCTGTAAAATGGAACTGATGTTGGGGAACTAAACGACAAAGAATGAGAAGTGCCTACATAGTGCTTGATTTGTAGGTACCTGTAATCAGTGAGTAATAATTTATATTAATTACAATAATGTTTTCAACATTAAGAGATTTTTCTTCCCCTAATATATTATTTAATGCTGTATAACTAACCCCAAAACTTAGTGACTTAGAACAACAACCTGTTGTTTTAGTTTCTATGGGCCAGGAATTTCGGAGTGGTTTTGGTAGGTTCTCTCAGGAGAGTGCAGTCAAGCTGTTGGCTGGGGGGCTGAGGCTGTGTCGTCCTGCCTGGGGCTGGAGGACCCATGTCCAAGATGGCTCCTTCCCATGGCTCTTGGCAGGAGGCCTCAGCTCTTTGGTACTTGGACCTCTCCATAGGGCTGCTTGTGTGTCGTCCTGTTACGGCACTGGTTTTCCCCAGAGTGAGTGACGAGAGAGAGAGAGAGAACGAGAGAGAAAACACACACCGGGAGTATGAGCATGCAGGGCAGAAACCACAGTGGCTCTTTTGTGTGTCACAGGATGAGAATGCTGGGAAGGCATGGCTGTTGGGAACCATCTTGGAGGCTGGCTGCCACACTCAGTCACTGGCAAACTGGAATTTAAATCCAGGTCGCTGGGCTCTTTCTATCACCGACGTGGTGGAGTGCCCCAGGCTTAGCACTTAGTCTTCCTCTTTTCTGTCTACACTGACACCCAATTACATCTCAATTCCAGACCTTTCCTTGAACTCATAACCCATGTGTCCAGTAACCAACTCTCTTTGAAGTCGAATAGGCATTTCAGCCTTAGCATGTCCAAAACGGAGCTCCTGACACCCCCACCCCGGCCCTGTCTCCCTGTGGGCCTCCCCATCTCAGTGATGGCAGTGCTATTCTTCTGGTTGCTCAGGCCAAAACCGTCATGTCCTGTTCACCTCCCTCTTCCTCTCCCATCCGGTCGTCTGTCTGCAAATCCTGTGGCCTTTGCCTTCAAAACACACCTGGAATTCAGCATGTCCCACCATCTATGCAGCCCCCACCCTGATCCATCTCTCACCAGGATGTCGCAAGGGCCTTCTCGTCCTTCTCCCAGCTTCCACCCTGTCCTCGCCATCATCTGTTCTCCACACGGTAGCTGGTGGCCCTTTTAAGACCCAAATGAGATCGCGACACTCTGTGGCAGGTCCATGGCACTCAGCCACAGACCTCACTGCACCTGTGGGCTCCACGGGTCCTGAGGGGCTCCCCACTGCCCCCCTGCCCCATCCCAGGGCCCTCACCTCTCTGCCTCGAGTGCTCTTCCCCCAGGCTGCCATCCCCTGCTTCTCAAATGGCACCTTCTCATGGAGGCCTTCCAGAGCCACCCTGTCTAGACTCTCCAACACCCTTTCCCGTTTGTTATGCCTTGTTCTCCTTCCCTGCTTCAGTTTTGCTCCTTTGTTCTTATCACTGTCTGACTTACTCTATTTTTTAATTTAATTTTCAAAAACTTCTCTTTCCTTAGACTGTGAACTAGAGAGCAGAGATTTTTGCATGTTTCTTTCGCTGCCATATCAAATGGCCTAGTGGATTTGCATATTCTTGAAGGCGTTTTTATTTTAATAGTTAAGAATGTAGGTGTTAACTTCCCACGCAAATATGGTTGAAGTTAGCATACCAGAAACATTTGTAACTCATCAGTATAGTGTGTTATTTCTTGCCCAAGATTACTAGATCCGATTACAGGGGTGGGAAAAAAAAAAAAAAGGGAACGTTTAGGAGTTTCCCTTATGTGAACTGTTTCTTTTGTGAATTGATTGCAAGTTAGGCATGAAATTCAGATGCACGATTAAAGTCTGTGTTTCTGTGGGGAATTATAAGGAGAGCCATTAGGAGAATCACAAAGTGTGTGCTTAAAGACCCATGTATTTTATTTTTATTGACAAATAAAACTTGTATATATTTACTGTGTACAACATGATCTTTCGAAATACATGTACAAGTGGGAATGGCTCAATGAGCACTAATTAACATACGCATTACCTTGCCTACTTACCTTTTTGGTGATGAGAACACTTAAAATCTACACTCTCAGCTATTTTCAAAATACAATACATTGTTATTAATGAGTCACTACGTTGTATCTCTTGACCTTGTTCTTCCTATCTAACTGAAGCTTTTGTATCCTTTGACCAACAAAACCCTTATCTTTAACGTGCTTAGAGTGTGAAAGGACAACTAAGACGTAGTATGACAGTGGAAAAACCAGAACCACCTTTCATTTCATCTAAAGACGCTGACAAGTATGTCAGGCATTGTAGGTGTGGGCCTTTTCGTGGCTCGTTGAGCCCCCATTTGCTGACTACGTGCAAGTTACAGTGCTGGATGCCTTGGGAGCAGAGAAGGATGGACTGGCCCTGCCCCCTAAAAGCTCAGGAGGCAGAGAAATGCAATCGCAGATGAACAAGCTTTCCTGGGAAGAGGGCGGAATAAAATACTGTCTGGCAGGGAGAAACAAGGATGGGGAGGGGGTGGCAGCGTTGAGAGGAGCATTGAACGGCATGAGCAGGATGTCAGTAGGCAGAGAAGGGCCCAGAACAGCCCGTGTTATGGATGCTTCTTGTACTTTAATCATCTGGGGACCCTGTCAAAAAGCAGATTCTGATTCTGTGGGTCAAGAAGAGGCAGCGGATTCTGCGTTTCTGACAAGCTCCCTGGGGCTGCCGGTGTCTGTGGTTCTAGAGGACCCACAGAGCCGCCTGCTTGTGCTTCCCCAACTGGGAGGCAGGGGCAGCCGGGAAGCTGCGGCACAGACTTCACACGTGGCCGGCTCTGGGACGCTGGGTGAACGCAGCTGTGGCCAGGAACCCAAGACCGATCTGGTTTTAGGTGGGCAAGTCCACCTGCCCTTTCCTTGATCACAGAGCCATTCACTCAGCCTTTGGGCTACTGCCCTCTCCTGTAATGTCCCTCTACAAGTTCGCTTGGCAGTTTCCATTGAGATTCGTTTGACTTTATGATCTCTGAACTCTTGGGGTATATTGCTAGAATGTTACTTTGGTCCTTCAGAAAGAAATTGATTCTATTATTGGTAGATTTTTAAATGTCTGGGTTTTTTTTTTTTTTACAAGCTGCCAGTCTATCTTGCGATCAAGTCCAATGATTTACTTTTATTTATTTATTTATTTTTATTTCAGCATATTATGGGGGTACAGATTTTAAGGTTTCAATAAATGCCCATTTCCCCCCTCCCCCCACAAGTCTGAGTCTCCAGCATGACCATCCCCCATATGGTGCACATCTCACTGATTATATACATATATACTCATTATATACCCGCTCCCCTCCCCCTCCCCCCTGCAATGATTTACTTTTAAAAAGCATATGAATTAATTACATAGGCCTCTTGTTTTTAGGGACTCTCCTAACTGGGGGAAGAGGAGGTCATACCAGTCATTCTTTAAAGCCATCAGGGGTCCCGGTTAACCTGTATGACCTCAGCATGAACCACCAATAGTGGTAGTTGCAGATGCCACCAAGTGGACACCACCAGGGTCACGCCTCTTCTTTCTGTAAGAATTGAAGCAGGTTGAATTCTGACAGTTACACTGTGGTCCCCAGAGGAAAACTCTGTCACCGTATATTGTTGTTTCTCAGTTGTATTTAAGCGGGGCGGGCACACGTGTCTGCAGATGTGTACTCAATATGCACATGCATGCATGTTTCCAATTCTCCTCCTAGGTTCTGGGCCTGATTGCGTTCATCTGCATAGAGACCATCATGGAGTGCTCCCCTTGCGAAGGCCTCTACTTCTTTGAGTTCGTCAGCTGCAGCGCGCTTGTGGTGACTGGAGTCTTGCTGGTTATGTTCAGTCTCAACCTTCACATGAGGGTCCCCCAGATCAACTGGAACCTGACCGTGAGTACAAGTCGCCCCTCCAACGATGAAAGCGTCATGTGCTGGCTGGCTCCAGGGGGAAGCTGGGAACCTCCCCGTGGCGTGTTTGGTTCTAGTTCATTTTCATTCTTAAATATTCTATTATATGATTTAACTATGAGACTTAAAATTTCTGTACTGGGTTGACTAAAACTACAAAGTAAATTAAATCTTAACTAATGGTAGATCATAACATCATCACAACAAAATTATTCTGGCCCTTTTAAAGATGTCATTTCAATTTAGCGATCATCCGAGAAAACTGGTAATGTTGATATTTGCAGACTGTTGGAAAGAAAATGCAACGAAGGCATTTACGTATTTTTCAGACTGGACACAAAAGCTATTTGCAAAAACATTGATTCTGAAAGAATTGAGAATATGCATGAAAATGCCAATAACTGGCAAAGTCTAGGAATGTCATTGAATTCAGAGCAACTGGGAGGACCCGAAGGGTTTGGTGGTTTGATCAGAAAGTCGGGAGTGGACGTGTGTCCTTTTCTCCCCATGGTTTGGGTTCTTAGCCTTGTTTGGACACCCTTGTCATTCGGCATAGAAAACTCGGGTTGGTCAGTCCCAGACCCCCTTCCCTGGACTGTGTTACTTGTCCTTACTGTGTGGAATGAGAAAGGAATTTTAATACTGATTGGTTTTCTAGATATTTCTTTGCAAGTAAGCATGTGCAAGAGCTCAGAGGGAATCAGTGAGGGAGACACACAAGCACAGTCCGCGGCTTTGCCCTTCTTTGCTTTTTGACGGAGAGCCCTGCAGACACCACAGCTGCGGAGGGGGAAGGGGAGGGGAGAGTACCGCAAGGAGCAGCCCTGGCCCCGGGCTCTGGAGCCAAGCAGAAGCCACGCATGGCTCCCGGGGGGTGGGGGTGGGGGTGCCACGAGAAAGTACAGCCCTGTGGGAAGAGGCCTGAGCTGTCACCTTGCCTGGCAGGGCGGCTGGCACGGGGTGCCCTGGGGCGTGAAGAGGGGAAGGCTCTGCTGACAGAACGTCCCATGTGCCGTGCTAACAGACGCAGACTCCTAAAGGAGAAAAAATAAAAGGAGAGCTGCTGGTCTGGAAATGTTGACGTCAGTCGAAAACTTAGCTGGTTTTGTCTTAGCATCGAAAGCTGAGAAAAAATTGGATGGCATTTTAAATGTAAGCTCTAAAGCCTCAAGATAACTGGAAGCATTTTGTTTAAGTCTTTGTGACAGGTTTTAGTGTCTCAGCTATTTTGTAAGATAAACTTTGTGCTGTCCGTAAGAAAATGTTTACAGAGTCGCGTCCTACATTGATAGCGTGGTCGGCAGATCGCTTAAGAGAACCTTACAAACCTCTCCCAACCAAGATGTGTGTTCCATGGGAGTAGGGCAAGGTCAAGGTTAGTGTCTCATTCATTGGCATCTCAGTCTCCTAGTGTTTCCTTTTTTTTTTCCTCTCTCTCTCTCTCCTTTTAATTTTTCTTGGTCACCCAAACAACACCCAGTGTTTCTAAGGCCCTCTCAATAACAACTAGCAGGAGGGGGTGGGCCCAGGAGTGAATGAGACCCTGCAAGAGGGCCTGTTTGACAAAGCTACTGGGAAGGTTAAGACCATAGGCTTTGAGTGAGACAGACCTGGCTAGGTTCAAGTCCAGAATGGCTCTTAAGGGCTGTACATGCCCCTGGCCAAGTCACTTAGAGCCCTATGTTGGTAAGTCTCTCACCATGGGTAAAGTGGAGATAGTAATATTTTGTTTTTGCAGGGTTGTTTTAAGTATAAAATGAGATAACGGGTATAAAGGCATCTAGTAAGCCCTCAAACTAGTGGGCACTGCTGCCAGTTCTTTTTTTTGTTTGTTTTTTAGTTTATTTTGAGGTGGGGTCTCACCGTGTTGCACAGGCTAAACTCGCAGTCTAACAATGTTAATCTCACCCTGAGTAGGAGGTTGTTCTGGCAGGCTGCTGTTTTCTTGTAACCATACTATTTGGTAGACTTCCACCAGGTTTGACTTGACTCCCTTAATTCTGTTTTGTCAATTTATTTGATAGCCATTAATCTGTTAAAAGATTTCATGCCTCACATTTCCCACTAATTCATACTGGCCTTTGACCCCAGAAATACCTACTTAGTGAGCTTTCTTAAATTCTGATTTTTCTAATTTAATAATGAAAGACTTTCCACTTGTTGACTACCACGTTATAGGTTGGATCGACGTGCATCTTTTTCACTGGAAAGTTGCTATTCGCCCTTTTCTTCTGGGTGGTGTTGGCCGGGGCCCATGGCTGGGTGGTGGTGGGATCTCTTGAGAACACCTTCCTGTCCTTTGGCATCCTTTCCGGAATTTGCACCCTTTTGGAGCTGATGAAGGTTGTGTGCAACATAACAAACGGGCGTGTGCGTTCCATGAACTGGAGGAGACGGTGCCTATTGGCGGCAGCTCATGCCATCTGTTCTCTGAAAGGGGAGACAAAGGGAGTGAGGGCCGCCTGTAGCTCACCAACTGGCTACGGGAGAGCTGGCCCTGGCTGTGTTGTTTCTAACACGCTGGTGGGAGGGTTTTTGCCCCTACCAGAGCCAGCCAGATGAGTGAAATAGGGTGTGATGGGTATAGATTTAGAAAAACCGGGTCATTTCAGGCACCCAGGTTGGCATAAATATGGACAAGAAATGGTTAATAAGGAGGACAGTGCAAAATATTCTACAAGCATAATTTGATGTCATTTGAAAGATTCTGTTAATGTCGTGTTTTGGGGGTATTTTTTAGGTGAATTATTTTTTAGGTGAATTGTTTCTGTGATTCTCATTTTGCTCTGCGTACCAGGAGCTCACCTACCTGTGTTTCACCCTGTTCAACTCAATTAGTGCCACAGGCCTCCTCCCCAACCCGCCCACTCTCCTTCCAGCCCTTTCCCTACTCTGATTCCGCTGCAGCTTGGAGCATCTGAAGGGTGTGTCTGACACCCCTGTCCCTCGTCCCAAAGGCCTGCTCAGCTGAACGTCTCCTAAGAGGAGGTCTGTACCTGCCTTCTCTACTTCCTTACCTCCTAAGCTCGTTTTTCTAACCTTTTGTTGTCAAATGCAGAAGAATTTGTGAAAGTAAATATATAGTGTCATGAAGAATGAATGATAAAGATTATTAGGTAGCCACCGTCTGAGTCAAGAAATGGGCTATCGTCAACACCCAGAAGCCTCCCATGTGACCTTTTCAAATACAACTCCTCCTCCAGGCCACTGTCCTGACTGCCTGGTGCTCCCACCTGGTTCACCTCCCGCCTCTTCCAGCCTGGCTTCATCAAAGGTCCTCTGGCCAGGATCACGGGACCTCCGTTTTCCGGGTCCTCTCGCTGGTCCTCACCCCACTCAGTGTCTTGGTGGCATCTGCTGTGGAACACTCTGTCCTCCTGCTGTGCCCTCTAATCTTGCCTCCTGGGACCATCCTGCTTTTCTTCTTCCTCCTTGACCGTTCCTTCTCAGTGGCCGTCGAGGCCCCGGCTTCTCTCTCGGACCTCCCGCTGTCTGAGGTCCCAGGCCGGCCGCTGAGGTGGGTTGAGAACAGTCTGCAGTCACCCATGGGGTGAGCCCTGACTTCTGACTCATCGTGGTTTTTTTTCTGACACCAAATACATGTTCTACGCCAAGCAGTCCTGTGACACCGACTGGGTGTCCAGCAGTTCCATTGAGTTCTGACACCTCGTCCCACAGTTGGCACGGAGCCCGCAGGTGAAGGGCTCAGTCGCGAAGACCGCCCCACTTCAGACACTTGGCGTGCCGGGCGCCTCTGTCTGGCCCACCACAGATTCTGTGCTTTCTACGACCCCCTCCTCAGGTTCGAGAATTCTCTAGAGCAGGGGTCCTCAAACTAATTTTTAAATGGGGCGCCAGTTCACTGTCCCTTAGCCCGTTGGAGAGTGTACACTCTGGGCCCGGGTCCAGCGGGCTGCTAAGCAGGACAGGCAGCGGCGGCAAAAACGACCCAGTGGGCCGGATAAATGTCCTAGGCAGGCGGCATGTGGCCTGCGGGCCATAGTTTGAGGACGCCTGCTCTAAAGCGACTCACAGAACTCAGGAAGACACTTTACTTAAAACTACTGGCTTGTAAAGGTCCAATAATTCTCTGGAACAACTGACAGAACTCAGGGACGTGTTTTACTTACAATGAATCACTGGTTTTGTTGTAACGGATACAGGTCAGGAACAGTCCGATGGAAGAGATGCACAGGGCGAGGTCTGGAAGGGCCTCGAGTGCTGAGCCTGTGTCAGAACGAGCCACCTCCCAGCACATGGATGTATTCATCAGCTCAGAAGCTCCCCAAACCCACCCTTTGAGTCTTTTTATGGAGATTTCATTAGGTGGGCGTGATTGATTGGCTGAATCATCGGCCATTTGGTGATTGAACGTGTTCCAGCCCTTCCCTCCCTTCCCTGGAGATCCAGGGATGGGGCTCAGAGTTCCAACCCTCTAATCACCTGGTTAGTA